TATATGTTTATCCATTATCCAAACATTATTGACAATTTGGATGAAATAAAGACGCGGTATCCTTTTGGTCATTCCAAGCACTCAGCTAAATGTTTTTTCTCTTTTGTGAACCTACGTCAAATAAATATTTGTATAATTCGTATTTCTTGGTATTTTGAATAAATTACACTTTTATTTAACATGGAATATTTAAATATCATTTCAGAACCGCAAGACCTGAAAAATATGAATGCAACAAAATCGTTTCCAAAATTACAATAACAAAATACATTTTATTAAACACACAAATTATTTTTTTCACATATATTTCATAACAGTATTGACGTGTCTCGCCAGAATGCTTTATTCGCAGAAACAGATTTCATCTACGCGTTTTTATTCACCGTAAGAAGGAAATATGAAACGGATACTTCACATAAATCGTGTGATAGGTGCAATGTTGTTCGCCAACTTTTTCCAATCTAATCAATGGGCGTTTTTTCCATTCAGTGCGATACTTGCTGATGCGGGAAAATAAAAAATTGTTTATAACTGAAAATATTAGTTTTTCGTTCCACGTTTCATGAACAGTCGGCTTGTTTCGAAAGAATATGAAAAAACAGCAATTTCTATAAAATAGTATTTTCATATCCTATAACTCTATTAATGACATCAACAGGCTTCTTGAATCTAACAGGGGATGGGATTTAAGTTAAGTCTCTCAAAAAAGATTAATCGTTAGATGTTTTTTTCTATATATTTATAGATTCATAGAAAAATCATAAAGATTGTGTACATGTTATTTCGATACTTCTTTTATGATGCTTCTGTTATGATTTCTCTGATAACGTAGAAAGATAATACTAACTATGTAATAGAACGGAACCCTTAAATTGACTCAATAAATAATTGTTATAAGAATTTCTATCTATAAAGTTACATAATAATTGTCACGTATTATTTACCAAACATTTTTTATTCATTTTTTTTTAGTATTAATCTGTAAAGGCGTATTATGTATGTTTTGTGAAATATTCAATGCACGGAAGCAATAAACAAGAAATATTTAATTATTAACAGACTCGGTCGATATAAACAGAATGCGTAAGAACCATTGACACTTACAATTAGTAGTTTGCCCGTGGATAGTCTAACTAAAAAATTTGAGAAATGACTGCAAAAGTGAGATTCTTCAGATGAAAATAATACAAGCAAACACATTACCAAGTAAGGAACACGCAAATTCTGAAGCTGGAGAAAACTCGAACAATGAAAAAGTTGGACCAATACCTCAAAGGTGATATTACTGGAAGTTAATTTTAAATGGTTCTAACAGTAATTAAATTTTGAATTTACCTATCTTTTTACTCAAATTATTCTGTGCATAAGTCGAAGCAAATTTTTATTTTCTATATAATATTTTTAAAACGAAGCAAATGCCTGCAAAACACTTCCTGTTCTAAATTTAATAAAATAACGAACAGAAATCATACACCAAGTTTTAAGGGATCATTGTAAAAGAAGAACAGCAATTTTCAAATTCGTAGTGTATTCAGTTTTGAAAAAGTTGCTAATATCCGTATAGAGATTTGAATTCGTCCAATTTTGGAAACGAAAAGGTATGTTTCCTTTCTCATGCGTTTCATAAGAAAAAAACATCGTAGAAACATATGATTTGTAAGAGGCGAAAGTACTTTTAGAAGTTTCACGTTTTAAAGTGAGCCTACGCGATATGTGCTTCGAATTTTTATGGTAAAGTTACAAAAGTCCACAGATAGACAATTTTCCGATTTCAATTTAGTGATCATTTCATTTTATGGAATAGTGTAGTTGTACTTCAAACCTACTAATATGTACAAGTCTTTGATTGCATATTAACACTAGATAGACATTTAGTGTACAGTTCGTTGTATCGTTCTTAGAAAAATGAATATTCGTCTCATTTAGATCTTGAAAATTAGAGGTTTAAAAGTAAACGATTAGAATACACATTTGCGTAATTGTGTCAATCAAAAGTGACCCTAGCATTTAATAAATAATGTTTGTAGAATTCAATATGAGTCAACTTGATTCGTTCCGTAAATCTAGTGTTAAACTATTGCAAAAAAACATTTTTCTAGTGTATACGAGGTTAACTTAACGCTACACTTGTTTTGTAGTTTGCTCGATGCAGTACAAAATTGTTTCTTTTACTCACTTGTTACAACCAAACGAGAATATATTTTAACTTTTGAAAAAATATTTGTGTTTCTTCGGATAAGAAGAAGGAAATCGATGATATTGATATTTATCATCTCAGATTTTATTGAAGAACAAGCAATACTTCTCTTGGTTTCTACTAGAAATTACCGTTTCAACTTTCGCTTCAATGTTTCTTCATATGATTTAATGGCACCAGTCATTGATAACCACCAGAGCGGCTAAAATATTTCAGTTTGACCTAAAAAATTCTGTCTTCGACGGAAATCCTTTTAAGTGTATCTGACTATTAACCAGTTTATTCGAGGTTTCTCTGAATAACTTAATTTTTTCAGTGAAAGCATAAAAACGGTAATATTTTTTCGAGAATTGCGTACCATCGCGCTATTCCAGCTCGAGTTACATTAAGCAAAGCGAAATTGGAATATCGAAGATGCGATAAGTAGATAATTATCACGCAGCAGAGAACTTATGCTAAACGGAATAGTTTTAAAGTTAATCAGAGCGTTACTAGTTAACCGAGTTTTTTCCTCATGTTTTTCTTTCATCTTCCTCCTTTCTTGATTCTTTTCTCGTCTTGCTTTCCTTTTACACCAACAACTTCCTTCTTCGGACAGATTGGTGTAGGCTTTGTGCGACATTCCTGTCGCGGAAGTTAGAGAACAATGATTTAAGATTACTAGAAATCTTCAATGCACAAGTTCATCATTACGGTAATAGTAAACGTCAGTTTTTAGGGATCAAGTCAGTACAGTGAATAATTCTTTATATAGTTGTATATATTTAACATCTTTATTATTTTCACTTTTTAAACATATCAGATTGTGTAATGAATCCGATTGCATATTTTTTCGAAAGAAAATTAAGTGCTATCATATTTTTATAGTAGCTACTTACTTTAATTAATGATATATTTGCCATTTTATTCAATGATCTTTTACCGCCTTTTGGATAACTTATATGTATAATTGTTTAGTATAGAATCCTTTAGTTTTTTTATTAAAAAATTCGAATATGAACGAATTTACATATTCCACGTTTTTGAACGATTTTCTTTAAAGAAAAGTTTGTTAAGGGCGAAAAAAGTAAAAATCCGATGGAGTAAGGTCCAGATATATGATTCATGTGGCTAAACATCTTAACCAAGGTTCAATAATTTCAAAAAAAAGTGGTATATTATATGGTTCAGTCTCAGTGTCATAATGAATATCATTAATTGTACTCACAATGTACGGGCTATTTCAGAAATGTATGTCACGACCACCACAGCGTGATACTACACATTTCATTTGATAGAAAACAATACGTAAGCAAGTGCTTACAGAATTCATCTTGGCCTTGGAAAAAGGATTAAAATTTTGTATTGTTGCATCGTGTTCTTGTTGCAGAAGTAAAAATAGTCTGAAAGACACCACACGTTGGGGCTGGATTAGTTTGCTTGTAAACTGGTATTGAAGTTCCCATAGAAGAGTAAAATCCCACGATATTCAGTGTCTTTTTCTATTACACGAATATCGATTAGTTGGAATAGCGAGTTCAACGTTTGCGTCCTGTTAAGATATGAAATGATAAAATATGACGCAATTTGACACCGAACGAAGTCCTATGGCGTCGAATCCGGAGACCAATTGTGTAAAGACTCCCAACACACTGGGAACGTGGACGATGCAGCATCGCTGCAAAGCGATGAAGATTCAAATCCATCACTTGTAGCGATGCTTGCATCGCCGCATGTTTCAACGTACATGCGGGCCTTAACTCTTTGGGGTTAGGTGGGTTAAAAACTGTCCCGCCCTTTGCTTAGCTTTTTATGCATGGTAGAATATATTTTAACCTACCTTGAAAAGTTGTAGTTACTGATAGTAATACAGTTCAATATTTTATTTAAGGTTTTTCATCCAATTGGCAATACTATGAACTAAATAAATGCGTAAATAAGTGAAAGCAAAAATGTATACACGTCAAAACGCATTAGTGAGTTGTCGAGACTGTTGTGATTAAGGTTGGCGAATTGTATGGTGTGGTGAATTCTATGCAACTTGGGTTGTTTTCTTATTTAAAATCGTGTGCCTCAAAGAGTTAACAGAAAAGGACACTGGATATTGCGGGCCTTTACTCTCCCATAGGAACTTCAACGGTAATTTACAAATAAATCATTTATTTCCGATCCATGGTACTTTTCAGACCATTTATTTCCGCAATGAGTAAAACACGATGCAACAATAAAAAATTTTAACCCGTTTTTCAAAATCAGAATGAACTTTGCGAGCATTTGATTAGACGTTCTTTTTTACCAAATGAACGGTGTAGAATCACGCTGATGTAGGAACATTATAACTAGGTTGTAAACCTTCCTGCAAATGTACATTGATAAATGTTAATAGATGAAAAAGAGAATAAGATGAAAACTGTATCAAACTGGAAATGAAAAACTGGATCAAAATATAGTTCTGTTAAGTAACAAATATTACCTCTGTACTCAAACTTATATTTTACTATTTTTAATTCGGTAACATTCACTGTTAGTACATAAATATGTCACAACGTGTATAGGTACTTATATGGGTAATGAAACCAGCCTCACTTACACTTATTTAACATTTGTTCATTCCGTAAATAAAATTTGGTATTCTTAATTAACGACTCTCGATATAGAGTCATTATACAAGTATATTTGTAAAATCGG